GCACCGCGTCGGGGCAGCTGCAGCTGGATGCGGGTCGGGGGACAGGTCAAGGTTAGAGAGAGGCTGCTATTGATCTGGCTTTGAACGCGAGACAGGGAGAGCAGAGAGACTAAAGGGGGAGCTGTGAGACAAGACATTAACAGCTTTCAGTGCTAATGATCACAAGTGCCAGACAGGGGAGGAAAGAGGAGACTGAGAAATCACTTTGGAATTTTTTTTTTTTTTTTTTTCCTATTGGGATGTATTTTCGGAGGAGGAGGCGGCAGCTGGAGGCTCCCCCGCAGCCCTGCCCGCAGCCGGGGCGGGAGAGGCAGGCGGTCAATCATTGCCGGCCCTTATCTCCCGCTCCGAGCCCCGCTGCGAGCCGCTGGTTAATCAACAGATGCTGCCCGCTAACTTCCCGGCACCGCGCTCCCCAGGGGTGCAGCCGCCCGCAGCTCGCCCAGGAGCGGCCACGCTCGCTGTGGGCCGCACATTGCACGCTCGAAGGCTGAAAATGCCTTGCTCGGAACCGCGGGGCCCGGTCCCGTGGGTACCCACATCGCATCTGTCCGTGCGTGGTGCTGCGGGGCCGCCGCTCTCAGCGCTCTCGTTTGGCTTCGTGAGACCCAAAGCCGAGGGAAAACGGCGGAGAGCTCAACAGCTGAAGTGCTGTTGGGGTACCGGCCGCGTGCTGACATGATAGCAGAGGGGGCCGAGCCGTTGAGAGAGCCCATGGCCGGGGCTAGGGGGCCGGGGCGGTGGGAGCGGTGTGCGGGCAGATTTACTGGAGGAGGACGGAGCCTCGCCGGTAAGCCAAATTCTACTCAAAGCTGATTAAGGGCATCGAGCTGAGTTCTGCTTCACTAGGGCTCTCCAGCGATTTCACACCAAAACATTCACTTAACACAGAAACTGAGTGACGCGCTGCAGAGCGCTCTCCGGGTGCGAGCTGGGCTCCTCGGGTCTCTCCTGCACCCGCCTTCAGCTCCCGGCCCTCCACGCTCCCCTCGCCCTGTCCAGAGCTGGTGCTGAAAGCTTTTTGCACGGACATTTGTTTGGTCAGGAAAGTGAAATAACAACAATCGGAGGAGCAGGTAGAATGGAGGGGAAAAAGTTGGTTCCCAGAATCTCCCAAGTGTGAGCGCACGCAGCTGCGCGCATTTACCTGCTTGGGAAACGGGGAAAGTACCCGAGGTCTGCTCCCCGGGAGCCCAGCGTCTCCCGATTCGTGGCGGAAAGTGAATTCCTTCCAGAGAAACCCTTGCCGCCGGGATGTAAGGAAAAGGGGTGGGAAAGGAGGGTCGGAGCGTGTGTGCGTGTGCAGCGCGGGAGTATGTGAGCTCGTGTCCCGCTGCCATCACGCTTCGCTTTAGGGAAAGAGGAGGAAAAAAAAAAAAAAAGAAAGAAAAAAAAAGGAAAAGAGAAAAAAACCCAAACCCAACTCTCCCCAACCCACACAGATAGTGGTAGTGTTGTAAAACTGTCGGGAAGAAACGCAGGGACACGAGGAGCTGCCGCGGCGTCCGCGGAGACGGACGGCCCGAGCCCCTCCGCGGGGAGCGCACGGCTGCGCCGGGGGCGATGGGTACCGGAGCGGCCCCACCGCAGCCCCCGCCCGTGCCTCCCCCGGCCCCGAGCGGCCCCCGGCAGCCGCCCCCGGCACAGCCGCCCCCGCCGCGACGCGAGGAAGTTTGGCCCCGCGTGAGGATGCGGCTTTGTGTGTCCCCCCCTTCAAATGCTCTTTGCTTTGCTCCCAAAGCTCCGCATACCCGAGAAAGCAGCAGCGCACAAAGCTCGGAGCTGCTCCCAATCCGTGCATGTGCTTTAGTTTGTGTGTGTGTGTGTGCGTGTGTGTGTGTGAGTGAGTGCGGTGTGTGCGAGTGGCGTTTCTTGTTCTCTTGCAGGGTACAATGTTAAAAAGCCACCGCTAGTCGCCCCCAGTGCTCCTACTCTCTGGGTCTTTTTGTCTCTAGTGCAGATTAAACGTCACGTCCGCACTTGAACTTGAATTTTATCCCATTGTACAGAGGCAGCCCCAGCCATAGAGAGACAGAGCGCTCCCAGAGAACCAGGACTCCGCCATCTTCACATTGCAATATATAATAGTAATAGCCAGCACCAGCCCAGCTGCACTGGGGGCTTCCTTCCTTCCAGTCCCAGCGCCAGGCGAGGGGGGAAGAGTGCAAAGTGGTGCAGGAGCACGGGCAATCCTAAAGCACCAGGGCAGAGCAGTGCCACTTGAACTGGGAAAGAGGAGACACAGTTTTGGCTGCCCCTTTTCAAACAAATTCTCTCTAGATATCTACCCAGCAAGGGTCAATCTCTGAGAAACATTTTTTTTTTCTTTTTTGGGCAATTTTTGGCTGTTTGGGCAAAACCCAATTTCAGTACTTTTTTAAAAAATCTTTTTTATTCCTGTTTTTTTTTTTTTTTTTTTGTTTTTATTTTTTTTTAACCCTCCTGGTGGAAAGGCGCACTTGCCAATTTGCCAAGCACTCTGGAAAGAGGGGAAAAAGAAAAGTGTACTGGCGGTGCACATCCTCCCAAGTTCAAGAAGAGGTTTGGAAGTCCGAGTGGCAGAAGCAGTGGAGAAAAGACAGAGTGTGAAAGAGAAAAAAAAAGAGCGAGAGAGCTTTTCCTGATGATGATGGTGATTTTTAATTGAAAGGAGATCCCATCCAGTGCACCACAACAGCAGCAAAAGGTGTTTTTTATTTTTATTTTTATTTTATTTTTTTTTTTTTTTTTGAACGAAGAACTCGATCAAGAAGAAGAAGAAAAGACGCAAAAAAGCAGAGGAGGAGGACCGGCCCCCAACGCAGCCCCCAGACCAGTGCAGCTCTCCAGGCGATGCCAGTGTAAATGCCAGGGCAATGTCCCGTCGCAAGCAGGGAAACCCGCAGCACTTGTCACAAAGAGAGATTATCACACGTAAGTTTCGACTTGGAATCGGATCGAGCCGAAATCGAGGAGCGAAATTAGGGA